GTGAAGTGTGTGGTGAAGCCAACTCACTATCACAGAACAATAATGGCAAACTTTAATGGCTGTTCTTTGAAATTAGAAAAAAAATCATGTCGATGACAAATGAAGATGGAGCATATTATGGGAATGCCTTTTTTCCAATCTTAACTGGAACAGTCTCGTGCACAGCTTGAAATCTTACCGGAGTTTGTCTTGCAATAAAGAGTTTATGAAGGTGACATTCAGCATTCATAGCACAAGTCTCTCCTCAAGCAGGCTAGATTATGTTGAAAACTGAGTTTAGGGCAGATGAATGCCATTCCAGTACCAACACCACCATCTTTGGACTAGTTCACTGATACCGATGTTGATGTTAATGTTGATGTTGATAGGTGCCATGGCAATCCACGTGGGATCCATACACAGTGAAGAATTTAGGATCTCAGTGCTGGCAGAGAAACACTTGGCAGAGATACCAGGATATCAGTGCAGGGTTGTGGGTTGTGGAAACAGGCTTTGAGTGGAGAGTGGAGTCACCATCAGTTCTGAAGAAAGGTCACCAGACCGGAAATGTTAACTCTTCTTCCTTTCACAGATGCTGTCAGACCTGATGGAGCTTTTGCAGCAACTTTGTTTTTGTTCCTGATTCACAGCATCCGCAGTTCTTTCGTTTTTTTTTTGAGTGGAGAGTGGCAGATTTCAGTATTGAGGTTGAAATACTGAGTGGAGAGCAGATATCAGTGCTGGGGTCAGATATACGAGTGGATAGTTGCAGAAATCACTGCTGAGAGATATGCTGAATAGAGTTCCAGATATCAGTGCTGAGGTTGAAATACTGAGTGGTGAGTGGAGCACATCAGTGCTTTCTTTTATTCATTTGTGGGATGTGGGTGTCGCTGGCCGGCCAGCATTTCTTGCCCATCCCTAGTTGCCCTTGAGAAGGTGGTGGTGAGCTGCTTTCTCAAACCGCTGTAGTCCTCCTGCTGAGGAGTTGACCCACAATGCTATTAGGGAGGGAATTCCAGGATTTTGACCCAGCGTCAGTGAAGGAATCGCAATATATTTCCAAGTCAGGATGGTGTGTAGCTTGCAGGGGAACTTGCAGGTTGTGGCGTTCCCATGTATCTGCTGTCTTTGCGCTTCTAGATGGAAGTGGTCGTGTGTTTGGAAGGTGCTGTCTGAGGATCTTTGGTGAATTTCTGCAGTGCATCTTGTAGATAGTACACACTGCTGCTGCTGAGCATCGGTGGTGCAGGGAGTGAATGCTTGTGGATGCAGTGCCAATCAAGCGGGCTGCTTTGTCCTGCATGGTGTCAAGCTTCTTGAGTGTTGTTGGGGCTGCACTCATCCAGTCAAGTGGGGAGTATTCCATCACACTCCTGACTTGTGCCTTGTAGATGGTGGACAGGCTTTGAGGAGTCAGAAGGTGAGTTACTCGTCACAGTATTCCCAACTTCTGGACTGCTCTTGTAGCCAGTGTTAATGTGGTGAGTCCAGTTGAGTTTCTGGTCAATGGTAACACCCAGGGTGTTGATAGTGGGGGATTCAGTGACGGTAACACCATTGAATGTCAAGGGGCGGTGGTTAGGTTGTTCCTTATTGGTGATGGTCATAGCCTGGCATTTGTCTGGCACAAATGTCACTTGCCACTTGTCAGCGAGCCCAAGCCTGGATATTGTCCAGATCTTGTTGCATGTGAACATGGGCTGCTTCAGTATCTCCGGAGTCACAAATGGTGCTGAACATTGCGCAATCATCGGCGAACATCCCCACTTCTGACCTTATGATGGAGGGAAGGTCATTGACGAAGCAGCTGAAGATGGTTGGGCCAAGGACACTACCCTGAGGAATTCCTGCCGAGATGTCCTGGAGCTGAGTTGATTGACAACACACAACCACAACCATCTTCCTATGTGTCAGGTATGACTCCAACCACCAGAGCATTTGCCACCTGATACCCATTGATTCCAGTTTTGCTAGGGCTCCTTGATGCCATACTCCGTCGAATGTAGCCTTGATATCAAAGGCTGTCACTCTCACTTCACTCTGGGATTCAGCTCTTTTGTCCATGTTTGAACCAAGGCTGTAATGAGATCAGGAGCTGAGTGGCCCTGGTGGAACCCAAACTGGGCGTCACGGAGCAGGTTATTTCTGAGCAGGTGCTGCTTGATAGCACTGTTGGTGACACCTTCCATCACTTTACTGATGATCGAGGGTAGACTGATGGGGCAATAATTGGCGGGGTTGGATTTGTCCTGCTTTTTGTGTACAGGACATATTGGGCAATTTTCCACATTGTCGGGTAGATACCAGTGTTGTACCTGTAGGGGAGAGGTAAGTACTGGAGCACTACTCTTCAGTACTATTGCCAGAATGTTGTTAGGACCCATAACCTTTGCAATATCCAGTGTCTCCAACCATTTCTTGCTATCTCGTGAAGTGAATCGAATTGGCTGAAGACTGGTATTTGTAATGCTGGAGACTATTGGAGGAAGCCGAGATGGATCATCCACTTGGCACTTCTGGTCGAAGATTGCCGCGAAACTTGCTTCAGCCTTATCTTTTGTACTGATGTGCTGGGCTCTTCCATCATTGAGGATGGGGATATCCTCCTCCAGTGATTTGCTTAATTGTCCACCACCATTCATAGTGTTGCAGTTCTGCAGAGCTTAGATCTGATCCATTGGTTGTGGGATCGCTTAGCTGTGTCTATCACTAGCTGCTTTCGCTGTTTGGCGTGCAAGTAGTCTTGTTTGGTGGCTTCACCAGGTTGATACCTCATCTTTGGGTATGCCTGGTGCTGCTCCTGCCATGCCTTCCTACACTCTCTATTGAGCCAGGGTTGATTCCCCTGGCTTGATGGTAATGGTTGAGTGGGGGATATGCCGGGCCATGAGGTTACAGATTGTGCTGGAGTACAATTCTGCTGCTGTTCATGGTCCACAGCACCTCATGGATGCCCAGTCTCGAGTTGCTAGATCTGTGCGAAGTCTGGCCCATTTAGCACGGTGATAGTGCCACACAACATGGAGGTTGTTCTCAATGTGAAGGCAGGACTTTGTCTCCACAAGGACTGTGCAATGGTCACTCTTACCGATACTGACACGGACGGATGCAACTGCCACTGGCAGATTAGTAAGGATGAGGTCAAGTATGTTTTTCCCCTCACCACCTGCCGCAGACCCAGTCTAGCAGCTATGTACTTTAGGCCACGCCCAGCTCGATCAGTAGTACTGCTGCTGAGCCACTCTTGATGATGGACCTTGAAATCCCCCACCCAGAGTACATTTTGTGCCCTTGCCATCCTCAGTGCTTCCTCTAAGTGTTGTTCAACATTGAGGAGTACTGATTCATCAGCTGAGGCAGGATGGTACGTGGTAATCAGCAGGAGGTTTTCTTGCCTATGTTCAACTTGAAGCCATGAGACTTCATGGGGTCCGGAGTCAATGTTGAGGAGCAACACCCTCCCAACTGTATACCAGATATCATTACTGGTGTTGGATATTATTAAGTGGAGAGTCATGGATTTCAGAGCTGAGGTTGGGATATATTGAGTGGAGAGACCCAGATATCAGTGCTAGGGAGACAAATTGAATATAGATTCTGGATATCAATGCTGTGGGAATATATGCTTATTGGTATTGAGGTGTTATTGGGTGATGTGTCTTGGAGACGTAACATGGCTACCTTGAGAAACTCATTAAGAATAAACTTGCAGATAATTCTAAACTTTGTGTAGTGACAGCAAAAATGCAGCACGCATGCAATTGAAGACCTAAGACAACATGAGCTGGTGGGCTGGTACTGGAGCAAATTAAACTCATACAGACCAAAAGCACAGATATAACAGATTCAAAAGAAAATGGTTAAGGGGAAATGCAAGGGGCACATTTCTTCTTGATACTGCTCGAGCAAAATTGGAGAAGCTGAGAAAGATGCAGTGACCAAAACTGCATACCAGTGAAGTTCAGTAACCGTGTAGCGGCTGTGAAGAAGAACACCGAGGCATTCTGCTCGATTAGCAGAGATTCAGTGCAAAGCATGGAGTTGAAGCTGCATAAATGGTCTGATCAGCTGGCTGTCACATCCAGCTATGGTCATATAGGCACAAGGGAAACTTTGAAAGCTGTAAGTGAAGGGTGGCAAGGTTGACCCCCAGTGTTGAGGACTAAGTGACAAAGCAAAGTTAGTAGAATCTGAACTGGTTAGAATAACGTGTATACTTTGGGTGTCCAATTTTAGGAAGAATGTTAAGGCCACAAATTCAGTGAGAAATGAAACCTTTGGGAACTCTTGAGAACGGATCAGTAATTGCTTTGCAAAGATTACATTACATTGTGAAAAGATTTCCTTTTTTCACCGCAGGGAGATTTTCAGCAGGCTTTTGTAGAAGAAAAATACATAAAAAGGTGCCACATCTTAATGAAAAATATTCTGTTTGGCAAAATGATTATTTTATCACATGGTGAAAGGTGTTGGTGACTTAATGCAACATTGGCTTGAACCAAATCAATCAAGAGGCTTAATACAGTAGAATCTCTGAGCCAAATAATCACCTTTTCAAAAGGAAGATGCTTTATTTAAAGGAAACCAAAGTGTATAAATATGTACTGGAAAGTGAGATTAGGATTGACAGTTCTTTTTCAGGCAGCACACCGACAATGGGCTGAATGGCCTCCTGCACGATAAATTTTCTGTATTCCTATGTGTAAAAGTACAACACTGCAATCAGTTGGATGCTTTGGTTATCTTGACATTTTATAGCCAAACACGCATTGCTGTTCCAATAGTACAGCAGAAACTAGTGTGCAGTGGTAATGACCAAACAACATTAAAACCAGACAAAGGAGTACTGGAGACAGTGATAGAACAGAATAAAAACAGGGACACCTAAAGCTGCATTACAAATAAACCAGGCAAATTCGCATCTGCAAAACACTAAAATTTAGCAGCCTATTGTAAAGTCAATTGAAGAACAGAGAACATGACAACCAACTTCATACGAATGAGTGGCTTGGACATACCTCTATATCCTGGATTATCTTTGGATATAACCCTCTGTAAAATGAATTTGGCGGACCATCAGCAGGCCTATTTTTAAACAGATATTGTTCCCTGGGAAGGAAGGGCAGAGGCATGAGTAAATACAGTAAAATCACACAATGTCAGTGCTAACTTCCATATTTTTCTTGTTAAAGACTGCCTCATAGTATTAGACTCTATACAGTCTGCTTCCCTGCAAATCACCACCTCAGCTTCACTAAGGAACCCAAGAGTAGCAGTAGGCCATTGAAGCCCTCATGCTTGTTCCATGGCTGATCTATGGCCTAAATCCATATATCAATCTTTGCCCATATCCCTTAATACCTTTGTTAACAAACATTTAGCTCAGATTTAAAATTAACAACTGATGTATCTTCCACAAATAGCAGTGGATGCTATTTCCAAACGTTTACCATCCTTTGTGTATAGAAGTGCTTCTTAAATCTCTCCTGAATGGTCTGCCCTAATTTGCAGATTATTCTAATTCTAGAAGCCCCAACCAGTGGAAATAGTTTATCACCCCTGTCCTTTCCTGTTTTCCAATCCTTAACACATTTTCAAACTTCAGCTGCATTTTGACAGAATAAAAGAAAAGCAATTAATTTGTTCCTATGGACAGAGTATGTGCCCTCTTAAATATGGCAATCACGCATTAAGCCAACAATATACAAGTCAATTGATTGGTTCAATCGTTAAATTGGATCTAGTCCCTAAAGTTTTGTGGGATTGTTACTCTCAGCTGGGATGATGGTACGACAGCTGGATCAATCTTTGTGCCCCTCAGAGCGAATTTGAGGCTGGTGAGGAATTAGAAGAATTCATCTATGTCTCAGATTCAGAATTGGCAATGAGGTAGGGTACAGAGGCATTTAGAAGATAATGCAGCATCTTTACTACAAAAATAAATTCCAAATTATTTCTTTTTTATTTTAACAAGCTTGTTCACGGGATACGGGCATCATTGGCTAGGCCAGCATTTACTGCTCATTATTAATCGTCCTGAGAGCAGTTAAAAGCCTGTGGGTTGGGAGTTAAATGTAGGCCAGGTAAGGATGGCGGATTTCCTTCCAGACAATCGACCTTTTTTTTTAAATTCCAGAATGCTACTGACTTCACATCTCACCATCTGCCATGGTGGGATTCAAACCCATGTCCCCAGAACATTAACCTGGGGCCCTACATTTCTAGACTAGTGATATTACCATGATGCTTCCACCTGACAATGTCATTAAGGGAAATTCAAAAAAAAATAAGAAGTCAACAACAAAGGGATAATAGGATCAACGATTATAGGCTCTGTCAAAGAGGTGGGATAGATTTCATATCCAGTGCAATGATGGTACAGTTTCTATTTATAGGTAGAGGCAATTGGGGTTGGTCTATTTTAATTCATGCACTGAATGGTGATTAAAGTAACTCACCATCCTCTCCTCTCTGCGAGGCCCCGCCACAACGGGTCCGTGCGCACCATCCGTTCAATCAGCTTTTTCCACAGCATTCCCTCGCCAATTACCCGCTGCCATTCTTTACACACCACCTCAGCAGCACACAGTGACTTGGCATCCAGGTATGACAGGATGTTCTCTGCTATGTGATCCAATCCTTGGGCTATGGATACAAAAGAACATTTGAGAAAAGCATATCAATTAACAAGCTAACCAACAGGCTGTAGTCAGGGCATCAGCAACAAACCTTTTTCTAACTCAAGCAGTGAACTCCTTATAAGGCCTTTGTATATCCCCCTCACCACCCCATCCCCAGTGGTTTTACAGGGGAAATATGAGGTGTGATGTGTGATAAACCACAGTGAACCTCCAAAGTCAATCCCTGAACTGCACTAGTTGTGTTAATCTCAAGCACTACAATAGACTGGGATGTGCCTTGACTCAACAACTAGTGTCAGGAACAGAAGTCAGCTAGAAAGCCTGCTCACTACTTTGTGGGTCTCATGAGCTTCTGGATCTCAACTGCAATTACATTCTCTTTCCAGCACAGCTTGCTGTCCCTGCCTGGCCATATCACAACACTGCCATTTGGGCCAGAATGCCTACTAAATAAGAACTGGAGAGATCTGGTTTCATTTTTCAACCAACTATTTTCAATAGAATTCATCAGTAACGAGCACTGCCATTAGGTGAGGGGCATACTGGTAATAGGTATCATTTCCAACTTGAACAAAGTTGGACTTAGTGCATCAGACAATGAAGCTTCAGAGTAAAAGCAGTTGCAACCCACAATATAAAATCTGACACAAATATAGCGCAATTATTTATTTATTAAGCCTTCAACCCCTCAACTTTCATTTTCCCCCACAACACTAATTAAAATGCTTTGCCTTCAGTTTCCAAATCTGAGACTGATCTGGCATTCTGCCTTTTCCGGTTGCTGGTAGATTTACTACTTCTGTTTCAGACTTATGGCTTTCCCAAAAGCAAAATTTTGTATACTTCATCAGTTGTCAAATTCTCATTCACATCAGTTCTCCTTTTAAATCATGGGTGGATTTGAATGCATATTCTCCCCCTGCATGGCATCGTAGTTATTTCACTTATTCTTTCACAGAACATGGCCATCATTGAAAAGTCCAGTATTTACTGTCCATCCCAAACTGCCCTCAAGATGGTTGTGGGAAGTTGCTTTCTGGAACCACTGCAGTCCCCTTGGTGTAGATACATCAACAGTGCTGTTCAGAAAGAGTTCCACAATTTTGATACAGTGACAGTGAGGGAACAGTGATATATTTCCAAGTCAGGATGATGTGCAGCTTGGAGGGGAACTTTCATGGGTAAGGCTTTATTTCTTAAAATCACTAGTGAGATGTGGGCATCACTTGTTGGCCAGTATTTGTGCCCGTCCCTTGATACCCTTGAACAGAATGGCTTGCTAGGCCATTTCAGAGGGCAGTTGACAGTCATTGCTGTGGGTTGGGAGTCACATGTTGGCCAGCCCAGGTGAGGATGGCAGATTTCCTTCTTTGAAGGACATTAGTGAAACAGATGGGTTTTTCCAATCATCACCAATGGTTATATGGTCATCAGTAGATTTTTAATTCCAGATTTATTTTATTGAATTCAAATTCCAGCATCTGCCATGGCGTGATTTGAACCAGTGTCCCCAGAACATTAGCTGAGTTTCGGGATTAATAGTCTAGCAATCATACCACTAGGCCATTACCTCCCCACTTTTATCCCTCTACGGCTTCTCTTACCCTTCTTGATGATGTAGTTTATGGGTTGGGAAAATGTTTTGGAGTCTGGTTTTGATGATTTACTGGTGTATCTTGTAGATGGTACACGTGCTCATAACTTCAGTTAGCTCCTGCCAGATTTCACTGTGGGGTTCCCCATCATGGCTGAAGACAATACTGTCTAAATCTCACCACCCGCCAACTTAGAAATATTATTCAACTGATCTATGCTGCCAGTGATTTAGCGTTGCATGTTCATTGTGTCATACATTCAATACAAGGGCAATCAACAGACTAATATGGAACGAAAGGTCTCAAAAAACAAATATATCGCGTATAAGTTGCACACAAAAGGTGAACTGGTTTATGGAATCCATCCTGCCCAGACACTGGAGGTATTCTGGACATGTTCACTTCAAAACATTGCATAAGGGAAGTCAGGTAGTCCTCATTTTACTTTAAAAGACAAAAACATTAGAAGCGGTGACATTGTTTAATCTTTCAAGATCTGGTTCCTCGAAGTGAGTATGTTTCCAGGTTTGTGTGGTTTTGCACACCATTGCATTGCATGTCATTGGAACCCAGCAGAGCAGTAGACGGAGAGGGGAAAAAAATATACAAAATGATCAAAGTGAAAGACGCCTCAGAAAGGGCAGGGCAGAGCGAGAGACAGCCAATAAAGGGAGAACGAAAACGTGATAGACTGGGAAAGGCAGAGAAAGAGAGACAGTGGAAAAACAATACAACAAAGTGAGGGAGAGATACAGAAAGCATTGAAATCTAAATGACAGACTGGTGAATGGCAACTAATTTGATTTTATGCAGTATTTCTGTTATAGGTGGCAATTTACTTGGCAAGTTATTCCAGTTCAGGAATACAGTCCTGCTCAAGCATGATAGTGTTTCAAATTATGCACCGGTTTTTTTTCCCCAGATGTTTCTGTTTTACAGAAACCAGTCTCTGGCTTTAACATTGTTTGAATCATGGCTTTTCCCTAGGAATCAAAGTGTTTTTCAGGAATGCAACCCAACTGAGGACTACCTGTACTGTATTTTCAATGTTGTTTTTAATTGTCTTAATCATAGCTTCCCAATACAAACATGAGCTAGGAGCAGAAGTAGATCATTCAGCTCTTAAGCCTGTTCATCACTCAACAAGATCTTGTTTATGGCTGGTTTGTGTCACAAATTCCACACTCCCCTCTACGCCCAATAACTTTATGTTTCCTGTCCTAATAGAAATCTACCTACCTGTCATACAAATATTCAAAGACTCCACTTCTATTCCTTCTGAGGTAGAGTTCCAAAATTGCACAACCCTCAAAACATTTATTCTCTAGTCTTGTCACAAATGCTTGCATAAACAACAATCATATATATAAGTAGTGGCCTGCCTTTCCAAATTTGGTGGCACCTGGAGTTGTAGCCAAACAAAGGCAAACTGCTGATTTCTCAGACAACAGTTGTACTCCAAGAGTCACTGAAGTATACCTGGGTACATTTTAGTGGAAGGAAGCGGACTTACAAAAGCCTTACAACGTGTGTCAGAACAACAGAAAGATCTGATGCACAGAGTACCAATTGAGACTAATAAAGTCAATTAAAAAAAAAGAGAACACTGAAGCACTGGAGCTCATTTCTGGACGAGTAGAATCAAACAGCAGGAATGTTATATTAAATGTGTATAGAACTTTGGTTTGACCATATTTACATTACCCATATTTTTAAAATGGCATTCTGGAGAAGGTACAAAAATGAAGATTTACTAGAATTCTACCAGAACGGAGAGGATATGGATGTCAGGAATGACTAAATAGGCTGGAGGTCTTTGTCTGTAGAGAAGAGGAGAATGACATATGACCTGATCAAGGCCTTTAAGATTATTGAACATATTTAAATCAGGTAGATGTAAAGGCCTTTCCACTTGGAGAGGAAACCAGAATTCAGGGTCATAAATACATGATAGTCACTAATTCATTAAATGAGGAATTCAGGAGAAAGAGGGGTTAGAATGTGCAATTCCGCATCACATTGAGTAGCTGAGTCAGCACTAGAAAGCTCGAGTCATTGCAGATAGGCTCATGTGAAGCATAACCACCAGCAGAGACCTATTGAGCTAAATGATCTGTTTCTTTGCTGTAAACACTATGCCATAGAATAAAGTACAAGTGCAGCTCGCCCAGTAACACAGGTGACTTCAACATCATCAGCAATTTCTTACTTTTTACAATATAGTAGGTCCAGTTAAGTATGGACAGAACAAGTTGGAATTTTTCAAACAACTATCTAATTTTAGCCCAGTCTACCAGGAATACTGCTAATGTTTTAGATGTAGTAAGACAACATGCATAAACAACCACCTTAGACGAGTCATTACTTCATGCTTTTAAAGGAATCTTGATACAATTAAATTGAGTGTCATATTTCTTATTGGTGAAGATGCTACCTGCCTAGGATGCTTGTCAGAATGGAGGGCTGAGACTAGTGGTGTTCAACAGGGATCAGTGCTGGGACCTCTGCTATTTGTGGTCTACGTAAATGATTTGGAAGAAAAATGTGGCTGGTCTAATTAATAAGTTTGCGGACGATACAAAGATTGTTGGAATGGCAGGTAGTGAGGAGGATTGTCAGAGGATACAGCAAGATGTAGATCAGTTGGAGGCATGGGCAGAAAAATGGCAGATGAAGTTTAATCCAGACAAACGTGAGGTGATGCATTTTTGAAGGTCAAGTAGAGGTGGAAATTATACTGTGAATGACAGAACCCTTGGGAGTATTGATATGCAGAGGAATCAGGGTGTGCAGATCCATAACAGTGAAGGAACAGCACAGGTAGATAAGGTAGTAAAAAAGGCTTGTGGCATGCTTGCCCTCCTTGGAAGGGGCATTGAATACAAGGTCAGACAAGTTATATTGTAGCTTTATAGAACAGGCAGCACGGTGGCTCAGTGGTTAGCACTGCTACCTCAGTGCCAGGTGCCTGGGTTCAATTCCCCCTCGAGCAACTGTGTGGAGTTTGCACATTCTCCCCATGTCTGCGTGGGTTTCCTCCAGGTGCTCTGGTTTCCTCCCACAGTCCAAAGATGTGCAGGCTAAGTGGACTGGCCATGCTAAATTGTCCATAGTGTTCAGGAATGTGTAGATTAGTGGGGTTTGGGGAATGGGATGCTCCGAGGGTCGGTGTGAACTTGTTGGGCTGAAGGGCCTGTTTCCACACTGTGGGGATTCTATAGATCTGTGAATTTTAGTTACGACACACTTGGAATATTGCATACAGTTCTGGTCACCACACTACCAGAAGGATGCGGATGCTTTGGAGGGGGTACAGAAAAGGTTTACCATGATGTTGTGTGAAATGGGGGATTTTAGCTATGAAGAAAGGTTGGATAGATTGGATTTGTTTTCACTAACGCAGGAGGTT